ATTTGCTAGCTTAGATGCTGTCTGCAAATGCCATCTGTCCTTGCACAAGGGTGGCCTCAGGACCCTTTGAAGGGGGAACACATGGCCATGGTAACATCATCATGAGTGCAGATAGGATTAGTGAAGATCAGGACAGGCAAAATGAATGAGACATGCAGACTCTGCAGTCAGGTGCATACCTGGAACTTGCTTTTCATATTTTGTCCTCAGAGGGCACCCTCCTAGTATAGGAGCATGATCTTGGATCTATACAATGCAATGGCTTATACATTGGCTTAATCTGAAACCCAGCGTAGAGGTAACTTTTGATCTCCATGGTCTTTCAGCCTTTAGGAGAGGAGATGCATGACCACCTCATAAGAAGAGAGAGCTGGTGTGTAAAAAGATGGCCCGCACTGGTAACATTTCTTCTGGCTACCCAGGTCTCGGAAGGCCTACTTTTAGCAAAGAGCTCTGGAAAATTAATATCTCCCCATAGCTGTGTCTCAGCTGCAGGAGCACTGAAGTAGAGAAGAATCGTAGAGGCAGCCTTGCTCATAGCCTCTTGCTCAAGAGGTAATGGGCACAAGCTTGAACATAGGAAATTCCATCTTAACATGAGGAGGAACTTCTTTACTTTGAGGGTAGTGGAGCCCTGGAACAGGCTGCCCAGAGAGGTTGTGGAGTCTCCCATTCTGGAGACATTCAAAACCCGCCTGGATGCCGTCCTGTGCAACCTGCTGTAGGTGACCCTGCTCTGGTGGGGTGGGTTGGACTAGATGATCTCTGGAGGTCCCTTCCAACCCTGACCATTCTGTGAGTCTGTGATTCTGTGATAACCTGACTTTCACCCAGCAGCTGTATGCAGGGCTGGCTGCATAAAGGGCCAAAGCAGGTACTTCAGCAAACTAAGATTCCTCCCTGGTTGCCATCAGCCTACATGCCTGGTTCCATAAGTGTGCATCTTCACTACTAAATTTAGCTGATAGTCTGAATACACTTCTCTTCTCTCTCTTTTCTTCCCATCACAAGCACAGACACAAAACGTCTCTCCCAAAAGCAGTGTAAAGTAAGCAGTTAATAGAAGCAAAAGGTTAGTAATAGCATTGCAAGTTCCAATTTTATAATAATAGCTATGAGATGTGGTTGCTTTGTGTTGCTTCTTTCTGAAATCAGGGGCAGAATTGGAACAGATTCCCTTTCAAGCATTCAGCTAAACAGCCAGAAATGAGATTTAATTTACTTCAGAAAAGAGGTCCTCACTAAATTCCTTCAGAGAATTTTCATGGTAAGCATTTGCACAAAGGCATAGACCATGCCTGACAGAGATGATGTGATTGCCACCAGCTTACTACAGAGTCAAAAAATTAGGCACCTGACCCACTGGATGACTCAGAAAGAGGCATTAGCTGCCCACGGATCCAGTACAGCCAATTGAGAGAGCAATTAACTAGTGACTAGAGAGAATTAAACTCCTCAGAAAGATAATCCACACAAAAGCCCTACACACAGAGCTGGAAGCTGCATAGGTCTAGCTAATAAAAAGGCTGAGAAAGGGATGTTCTTGAGCACTTCTCCCTCTCCGGAGCTTAAACATCTAATTTGCAGCTGTGTGTTACATGCTCCTGTGTGATTCAGAGCCTTTCATCAGAAAAAAAAAAAAAAAAAAAAACGGCAAAATTTCAGCAGGAATTATTTTAAAGGGGAGGGATGGTGATGATCACACCCATCTCAGCTTGAAGTCATTCAGGAGTGCACCTCCCATCTGCCAGCAAAGTGTCTTGAGTAAAAAGCGAGCACAAAGCTGGATGTGCTGGTCCCTCGTCCTTCCTCCCTGGGCTGGGCTGGGTGCCTGCTCAGTTCTGAATGTGAGAGGAAAAAGTGATGGGTAGAAGTAGTCCGTGGGCGCCAGCTGAGGTCAAACTTTGCACTGATTTGTGGGATCAAAATCCCAGGGTGTCCTGGGCTCTGCGGAGATTGGGGTGGTGTGTTTTCAGCATTGTTTCCTTCAGTTTAGGAGTCTATGGAAGTCTTTGTCTCCAGTCATGGGACAGAAGAGTCCCCCTTCATCCCACTCCCGTAGTAATAGCTTCAGTAAAATTCATCCAATAAAAGGTGGCAGGTATTTACTAACACCTGCATAAACCGGCAAGAAAAAAATGCCTTTTCTGTAGCAAGGGTTGAATGGAATATTAAAACATGTAAAACCAACTTTTACAATCAGACTTGCTATGGGATTTCCTCCATCTGTTTTGTCATGTGTCTACGCTCAACTTCCTTGCTCTTTAAGCATTTCATATAAAGTTTACCTGCATTTCTTCCTTTCACCAAAGACACAACTTTCCCTGGTTGCTAGACTGAGACTGTACTTTTTAAAAAAGGGAGAAAACAGCTTGCTGGTGTCACCAGGTAATTTTCCAGTAAGCCGCGAGAGGGCAGGTTGTGTTCTCTGTACAGCCGGATTGGTACAAGGAACTGTTAAGACCACTCAGTTTTAAAGCCGTAATTATTAAACTAAGGGCCAGCGAGTGGAAAGAGTAATGCATGGATCTTTGACCCTAGCATTTTTTATGCGCGCAGTATCAATCTAATACCCTCATTGCTTTTCTTCTGGTAAGGAAAATACTTCTCCACCCAATTTACAAGGGAGAACTGAGCAACTTTCCCATGTTGTACCCACCTGCTCTTAGGCAAAACCAGTTCTAACGAGTTAACTGCAATGATGAATTTTTTTATATTTCTCCGCTGGCTCTCTCCTTCCTCTCCTGCCGCCACTGTCACTTGCCCATAACCAGGACAGCTTGCAAAGCAAACACTTGGGACAGCAGTATCCAAACCTCCAAGGAGGTAAAGCTAATTAGGCACACACTATGCCTTGTGACCCCAAGGAAAAACCTCATTCACCCTTGGAAAGAGCAGCCTAACCCGTCTCCTAAATTTTGGCATTCACATCACACGAAGGACAAAAAAGTGCCAATCTCCATCCAATGGCATCTCTCTAAATCAGTATTTAGCATGAACTGGTGCGTGTTCTGCGTTGTTCAGCCTGCAGAAGAGAAGGCCCCTGGGAGACCTTATTGCAGACTTTCAGTATCTAAAGGGGGCCTACAGGAAAGATGGGCACAAGCTTTTTAGCAAGGTCTGTTGCAATAGGACAAGGGGTAATGGCTTTAAACTGAAAGAAGGTAGATTTAGACTAGACATAAGGAGGAAATTTTTTACACTGAGGCTGGTAAAACACAGGAACAGGTTGCCCAGAGATGTGGTAGATGCCCCATCCCTGGAAACATTCAGGATTAGGTTGGACAGGGCTCTGAGCAACCTGATCTAGTTGAAGATGTCCCAGCTCATTGCAGGAGGGGTTGGGCTAGATGACCTTTAAAGTTCCCTTCCAACCCAAAATATTCTATGATTGCATGATTCTGTGTGAAGACTGAGTCTTGTAGTGCTGAAAAGTGGCTGACATCTCCTTGAGAAGGGCATGTAGAAACCTCAGACCTGGCTACGAACTGACATTTAGCAGGGTCCAACTGATCTGATGCATGCCAAAGCCAGGCCTCTAGAGACCTCATCTGACATCCTCCGCACCGCATAACACTGGTCCCTCAAGGCAACCCCCCCAAAAGACAATCTGACTTGAGAGGTAGGGTACTGGGCTGTACAAAAAGCTCTCCAACCATTGACATCTTGGGCACAAGCTAGGAACAAGCATGCTGGGACCCCCCAAAGGCACCACAGAACAGCAGAAACCTCAGCAGATTGTTGTCCATCTGATACAGCAAGGGCTATCTGAGCATTTCTTTGCCCCAAAAAGTCTGCATTTTAGAGGGAAGTTTTGTGAGTTACACATCTTTAAGGCTAAGTATATGTGAAGACCTACTGAGATCTTCTTTCTAGTCTGCATGGCTAGTATTGAGCAGGCCTAGAAGAAATACCAGAAATCGTTACTAACCAGAATTTTTTATTCAAGGCTACAAAAGCAGAGTTTTTTTAAGACTCAGGACCTTACAAACACAAAATCTGAGCTCTCCATTAATGTAACATATTAAGCACCAAAGCTGACACAATCTATTCAGGACTTCATCTGCTGTGTAAAAACCCTGTCTCAAGACAACATAGGAGAGCCATGCAAACGTGGCCCAAGTCTAAATAAAGAAATATATAGGGAATGTATAAGGGAATGTTTAAGATGGGGTCTAGAGAGTGCCACATCCAAACCTGATCCCCCACCTGCAGACCTGGATTACGCAAGCTATCTTAGTCTTGTTACCTTGAGTCCTGGGTCCCAGACTTTGGAAATTTAAGTCTAGATTCATGAAAAAGTGCAGCAGAGCTAAAATAGAGAAGGACGAGCACCATTTTCAACTTCTGTCACGGGTCCCTAACACAGAGGTAAAACACAGGTGTATACCTAGGTGTCAGGGAACTCCTGCTCATTTGCGTTTGGAGGTTTACCTAATGCTAACATCAGCTTGATTGGAAATAACATAAAGAATTGATCGTGCTTGTGAAACTGTAACCAGGGGGGTCCTATAATATTTTGTCAAACAGGATGAAACTTTTTGAACCTTAGAAAAAGACTATGTTATTCAGAATATTTATTGATAATTGTAAAATATGTTATTCAAATATATATGTAGAGTTAATAACTTTCAGCACATCCTAGAGCTGCTAAATAAAATCAAAAACACATTGAGGTGAAAAATTCTCTTGGTTATTCCAGTTGGGTTTTTTTCTATTTGGATTCTTAGCTGCCTTGATCTAAACCTATAGGTGATGACTTACAAGTCTCACACACTCCAGATAACGTTTGGTAATAAGAAAAGTCTAGCCTGTCCTGGGCCTTGCGCATATGTACCCAGAGACTTCATATATTACAGTTCACAAGATAACAGGAAAACCTGAATGAGAACAGTGTAGTTAGCTGCCAAAGGAGTGTGTGATAAACTCTCAGCTAAGATCTCAATGAGGCAACCAAGGTCACTTCCTACAAGAATCAGCAAAGAAACAAAGCGAGGGCACTAGGCCTCTTCCATGTACTTTTTGGGGCTGAAGCTCACATTCATCAGTGGTTCAAAACCTCTTCTCTGCCTTCGGTGCTGGAAAAGTACAAGCAGCAAAACGAGCATGGCCAGAGCTATAAGTGCTCCTCCAATTGTGGATCCAACCATGACAGCCCACATTTGGGTTTCTTCAAGTGAATCTGGAAACACAAAATGTCAGAAGTGAGGACAGCACATAATTCCATTTCTTAAATCACATGGAAGAAAGAAAATGTCCCACAGCCTGGTAATGATGATTATTTGTGTGGCCTAGAGACCCACTGTCTACAGGGGAAACGAGTAATGCACCGTGTAACCAACACACATACCAAAGCCAGAGATATTTCCTGCCAGAGAAGTCTACAGTTGAATTTAAACCTCAATCTTTCATACCAATTGAAGTGTTGAGAATGGGCAAGATTAACAGTAACAAGACAAAAAGACCATTCTCTTATCTAATTTGGCAAAAAATTATGAATTATCTTAGCAATTCTTTCTATAATGACATTTCAGCATAGCTGTTTCCAAGTTATTTCGGTCAACAGAAAACCCTCAAATTTTCCTATAGACCACAAAGCAGCCTATTGTCAAACTTTTAACTGAAAACACTACTTAGTGTGGTTCTGCCAACCGGCTCCAGATCACATCCTCTGAGTTTGGACCACTTTTGGGGAACCAGTTCTGTCTTCTAAGATAATATTGCCCATTCTTATAATAACCCTGCTCCACTTGGATGAATAACTTCATTTTGTGTTTTCATTTATGCTCTCAGAAGTAAATATTGCCTGTTGTCCTGTTCTGGAAAATGCTACTTATACTGAGACAGCAACAATTACATTTGACTAAATATTCACAAAAACTTCTCAAAAGAGCTTGAGGTATTTAGAAGTTAGTTAGGCATATGGGCTTAATGAGACAGATGGCTCAAGGAGACGTCACATTTGACTATAAAAGCAACTGGAAGTTGTGTGCCCCAATCTGCAGTCTCTATCAACAAAAAAGTTGAGGGCAATCATGCCCAAGTTCAGTAAGGTCCCAAAATGAAACTTTATCATCTCTCAAGTAAGAGCCAGCACTGTATTACATACGTTGATTTCTAATGTGGTTACATGAAGTAGAATTAGCAAGTTATAATTTTAGATAAAAGAGAAGGGTTTGGATGTAAAAACTGTATTGTCTGAACACAGACCATGCAGACAGGGATAGATACGCTGCTTCACAGTGAGCCAACAATTTATTTAGGTTGCAGTTGAGAAGCAGCAGAATCACAAACTGCCTTTTTTCCTCTCTGGGTACCTCATGCCAAAGGAGGAGCAGCATTTCCAAAGCCGGAGCGGTGTCAGTAGCCCAAAGGGAGGTAAACTTATACTCAATAAACAGGGAAGTTTAAATTCTCAGGGGAAATTCTGGGGACACCCCTGAGAAAAGCACTGCAGAAGCAGCTAGTGTGCCTCCACGAGCCAAGGCTCCCCTGCACGAATGCAGTCTGAGGACAAGGGTTTCAATCTTTTGCAGTCTATAGACCTTTAAACAGTCTCCATGGATTAAAACCTCAGATACATGGTAAGCATTTAGAAGAAATTCCTGGCCACATGGGTTAGATAAGCACCTACTGCCTCTCAAAGGAATAGAGAGGGAAAGAAAGAAACTGCTTAGATTTAATCTTTGGTAAAGCATCTGAAGCACAGTTTTCATGCATTCCTTAACACTTGCGCCGTTTACAAACATTTGTAACTCATGTTGCAGATTTTAGATTTTGTGCATAAATACTTTGCTTTCTTGGTTTTTGTCCTTATCTGATTTGTGTCAAAGGTAATTTCAAACAAATATAGGCAAACCCTAAGGCATATCACAGCTACGGGCATGGGAAAATCTTTACAACTGCGGTTTTATAACACAAAATACCCAGGTGTGTCTCTCTGGTGTATCCAAAGATTAATGGGGTTCATCTCTAATGAGATTCACTGCGCAGTATCATTCAGGGCTCTGCGCAAAACACATATTTTCTAATGACCAGCGCTAGCCAGACGAGCTCCCTGGCAGAGTGCCCGACCTCTGACAATTTAAAGGATCCTATAACAGGCATAAACAGCACTGGGAGCAGAAGGCAAAATCAAAGACTCCTCAACCCCGAAGGAGCACATCGTCTATGCCGGAGCACTTCAAGTTGATGCATTTTGCAGCAGAGCAAGCTAAGGATGTGCACACTTAGAATCATAGAATTGTCTAGGTTGGAAGAGACCCTTGGGATCATCGCGTCCAACCATCTACCCTACTCTACAAAGTTCTCCCCTACACCATATCCCCCAACACCACATCTAAGCGGCTCTTAAACTCATCCAGGGATGGTGACTCAACCACCTCCCTGGGCAGCCTATTCCAATGTCCAACCACTCTTTCTGTGAAAAATTCTTTCCTAATGTTCAGTCTAAATCTACCCTGTTGGAGCTTGAAGCCATTCCCTCTCAATCTGTCATTAATTACCTGTGAGAAGAAACCAGCACCAACCTCTCTATACTGTCCTTTCAAATAGTTGTAGAGAGTGATGAGGTCTCCCCTCAGCCTCCTCCTCCTCAAACTAAACAGTCCCAGCTCCTTCAACCACTCTTCGTATGATTTGTTTACCAGGCCCTTCACCAGCTTCGTTGCCCTCCTCTGCATTCGCTCCAGCACCTCGATATCTCTCTTTTATTGAGGTGCCCAAAACTGGACACAATACTCGAGGTGTGGCCTCACCAGTGCTGAGTACAGGGGCACAATCACCTCCCTACTTCTGCTGGCCACGCTATTTCTAATACAAGCCAG